CTCTCGTGCTCACAGATCCCACCAAGCATGGGAGAGAAGACGCCTTCTCCTCCACTCTGGTTATTAAAGATACTGTTAAGCTAAGTGATGTGGCATCTTGGCCTAAGATGACAGTGTCTGGTATTTAATTGTTCTCTTTTGAAAATACTGAGTATTGCTGCCCCCTTTTTTGGCATTTGGCCTCTGATGACTAGCAAGTCTGCAGTAATCCTCCATATTGGCTATTATGCAGAGGCCACTCTAGACTCTAAAGTGCAGGACTCCTCGGTGGTTTAGGAACCTGGAAGTAATAGAGCCCAGAGCATTCTCCTGCAGTGGATGTTTGCTCCGGTAGATGTGGACCTGGGCATCTCAGTGGGTGAAGGCGAGGTACCATGCTGGGGAAAGCACACGGTGTCTTCATAAAGGGAAACTGCATTTGTCTTGGGAGAAATCGACTTCTGCTCTTACTGCTGAGGGAAAAGCAGGTGTAAAGTCACTCCTCAGATTGTTATAGAATGGCAAGGCTTGCTTTGTACATTTTTTGTGTTCATTTTCAAGATTCATTTCTTCAGGGACTTGGGCACATCGTCAGGACGTATGTGGGGGAGACAGCCATTGCAGCAAGTCTGGGAAAAGTGAAGCCTGAGGCAGTTTGAGCTGCCTTCCGAGAGCTCTTCCTCACGTCCTGTAAATGCTCAGCCAGTCTCCCAAACCTTTTTTCCCCTACACAGACACTGGCGGTCTCCCAAATCTTTGTTGCCTGGGGGTCGTCATTACTGCTGCCCCCACCCCATTGGCACACACGGTCCCCCTCACCTCAGGGGCTCCCTGCCATCGACCTGGCCGCTCTCCATGTGAGCACTGGCCAGTCACCGCCATCAAGGACACCAAACACGTGGAGAAAGGACGGATGGAAGGACGGGGCAGTCACACCACAGATGAGCCAGACAAACACTTTAATTTTTCTGGAGGCGTAATTTCATTGTCTCACCTAAAGCACGCTTGTCACTCTCTCTGGCAGTCAAGGGTTACAGACAACTCAGCACCAAGGATGAAAGGGAACCCTCTTCCCCTTCACTCCCCATCCCCTCCCTCCCCTGTGGCCTAAATCCCTTTGGATTTTCACTAAACAAGGCTCATACTCAGCACACACTCACTCCCACAGCGTGTGCACACAGACACACACACACACACACACACGCACTCACAGGAAAAGGAAGAAAACCAAAACCCACGAAAGCAGCGGGGGCAAGAGGTGTTGCACATCTTGCTCCCCTCCGGTTGAGACCAGACTGCTCAGGTCCTGACGTCATTCTTCCCGGCGGAGGCGGGCCCAGCCGTGTCACCGCGCCCTACAAGAAGATTCACGCGCAGTCACCAGTCCCCAAGGTCCCTCTGGAGGCCAGGTGCCTTATCAGTCACGGTTTTTGCTTGTTGTCGGCGTTGCCATAGGCAGAGCCCTTGTCGATTTCCGTCACGCCGATCATCCATCGCACTCCCATGGACGCTGCGGAAAGGGGACACAGGAGGGCAGCGTTAGGAGGAACCAGTGTGGACGTACAGAGAAGCCTGAGGCAGCTGCCGACACGCATCACCGTGCCAGGTGACAGCACCAGCCAGTTTCCGGAGCCATCTCATCATCCCAGAGTTATGGCAGGGGACTTACTGGACTAAGTGGCATTAAAATGAACAGAGCAAGGCTGTTCTGTCGGGTGTCTAACGCTTTGACACTTGGAGGCAAACGGAACTTGGTAAGCTGTACACAGCTGTACAGGAGGACTCAGAAAATCCTTCTGCTGCCTCTGCCAGCCCCCAAGGCTCAGAGGACTCCTTTGTGGGTGCGGGAAGGAACTCCCAGACACCCTGCAGTAAGAGTCTGCACAATGCAAGAGCACAGACATCTCCTCAGCGCCCAGTGCGTTCCCATGATGCTTTAGTGCAAGTGTCTGTGAGCCAAACGAAGTCCCTGCCTCACTGTCAGCCTGTTCTCCAGCAGCAGAGGAAGCTCGGGCAGCGTGAACTGAAACTGGAGCCTATCAACTGGCAAAACATAGTTTCTAGAGAAAATGTTCCACATCCTACTTTGGTGAGTAGTGTCTGGGGTCTTAAAAGTTTGTGAGCGGCCCATCTAAGATACTCCACTGGTCTCACCCCTTCGGAAGCAAGGGAAAATGAGGAAAACTAAATACACAAGGGAAAGATTAGTCCAAAGGACTAATGGACCACAACTACCACGGCCTCCACCAGGCTGAGTCCAGTACAACGAGATGGTGCCCGGCTACCACCACTGACTGCTCTGACAGGGATCACAACAGAGGGTCCCAGACAGAGCTGGAGAAAAATGTAGAACAAAATCCTAACACAGAAAAAGACCAGACTTACTGGCCTGACAGAGACTGGAGAAACCCTGAGACTATGGCCCCCGGACACCCTTTCAATTCAGTAATGAAGTCACTCCTGAGGTTCACCCTTCAGCCAAAGATTTAGACAGGCCCATAAAACAAAATGAGACTAAAGAGGCACACCAGCCCAGGGGCAAGGACTAGAAGGCAGGAGGGGACAGGAAAGCTGGTAATGGGAAACCCAAGGTCAAGAAGGGAGAGTGTTGGCATGTCGTGGGGTTGGTAATCAATGTCACAAAATAATATGGGTACTAACTGTTTAATGAGAAACTAATAAAAAATAGAGAGAAAGCAACTAGAGCCTAACGCCCAGAACTGGCAGCTAAGCTAGCTACTCCCTGCAGGGAGGGTGGACTCGGCGAGGTGCTGGGGTGCAGGGACCACATCTTTGTTGTCCTGCTGCGCCCAGCAGCGACCACAATGCCTGGCAAAGGGTCGCTTTACCGTGAGTGGTCAAGAATGGGCAGGCAGGTAAGTGACGGCCTGCCCCCAAACTGGACACGCACGTTGACATGTTAGCACTGCGGTCTGTAAGCTGCTGTCAGACGGAGCAGGGGAGCAGCCTGGGGCAGCAAGACCCCACACCCACAGTCATGCACAAATGGGTGCACTTCTTGGGGGCTGCCGTTGGAGGCTTGGAGGTGAACAGCCGCCCGGACAGGAGAACTTCCACCGAGAGGGTGCTCGACAATGGAGATGGGGACGGTGCAGAGAATAAAGAAGTGAGGAAATGCAGACTCCACTCCTCCAGGGCCTTCGAAGGAGGAACAAGTTGCATATACAAGGTAACTCAGGGCACAACGGGAGCCTGGTGCTCAGGGCAACCAGAGCAGTCGGCCCCTCAAAGGCTCCTGAAGATGCTGTCTGTGGCTCCTGGGTCGAGTGCTCAGGGGTCTTTTGGGCCTCAGTACACATCTGGGCAGGCCCCATCCCCACCTTCCTCCTCTCTAAGGAGCCGCCGTGTGCGCCGGGACGGCACTGGTCTCCGCTGGCCTTCCCGCCAAGGGTCATCTTCTAGGGGAAGTCTTCTACCCGGGTGCCAGGCCATTTAAGACAAAAGACCGCATTCATTCCTGCCCTCGGCCGGCCACCCTGTGCACCTGGAGTCTCCCCTGGAAAGCCAGCATCGGGCTCTGCACAGGCCCTGTCTTTGGAGAGTGGAATTCTTAGACGGGGATGGCTTCTTCTCGTTTTTATTCTTTCTGTCCTTTTTCTTCCTACAAGGAGTGGGTTTATTGTAGTGTTTTAATTTCTTTAACATCGAAGAGTATTTTAATTTTCAACAAGACCGCAGTAGGCCTCTTGTAGGCACAACGGCCAGTTCCTCAGCTGGAACAGGGCCCGGGGTTGCCTGTTGTAGCCCCCATGTCTAGAACTGACTGCCGGGACCCAGAAGAATGAGGTAGGTTGATGTGCTGTGACGTGTTCAGGTGACCACGATTTAGTAGGTGAAAAAAAGTGAGTTAGAGAAACTCCATGTGTGGAAATCTCTACGCGTGTATATTTGAGACCAGAAGAACGGACACCAAACTGTTAGTAATGGTTCTTTCTGGGGAGTAGGTGCAAAAGGAGGGTTTTGCCCTGAGACGCCTACTGCTTGAGTCTTTTACAATGAGCAGAATCATTTGTATGTTTTGCAAAAATAATCAAGATATGTCCGTTTGAATCGAGTATACAGATACCCGCACACCTATGATGACATGGCGTTTCTCCTCAGTCTCGGAAAAGTAGTTTAGACGCTGGCCGCACTACGCAAAGAGTCGGGAGAAGGGTCCCTGAGAGGGGCCTGTGAGGGAGCTTCCTCTCACAGGAGGACCTCTCGGGTTTCCCCAATCTGTAGGGCAGGAAGCTAAGCAATGACACCTAGCTTCCCCCAAAAGCGGCAAGGTGCAGGGAATCCTGTGTGCCATAAAGAAATAGCAACAGTTTGAAATTACTGGTCAAACACGGCCAGTATGAATTAAGGAAAAAAGCGAATGTAGGCATCATGTCCACTCAGAGCAGGCCAGCAGTGAGGCTCACAGCTTTCCGGGGGACCTAGAGCTGCTCAGCCCCAAGACTCATTCCTTAGCTCCTGCCGGGACTTCACAGAGGGCTGGCTTCCGACCAGTAGGCAGGTTTTCATTACGATGATGAGAAAGGAGGAGCCGGAGCCGAGCTGTCCGGCCAGGGCGGGAGGCGGCTGCGCTGCCGTCGGTTGGAGCTGCATCTGCCCCGCGTCCTGGAATCTAGCTTTGCCTCGTCATAGACGGCACAGCAGCCGCGGTGCAGTGACCCCCAGTTCTGATCCCCTCACTCCCCACTTACCCACGAAGAAGACGAGGACGAAGGTGGCGAGTGTCAGGGAGGACCCGCTGCTGACCATGTTGACGAGGAAGCGGAAGAAGGGGTAGAGCAGCAGCGAGGCCCAGAAGAGCCAGTTCAGCAGCGTCCAGGGCCGCCGCGGCGGCGCCATCGGGGTCTCCGGGAAGACGCCCCTCCGGTGGTACTCCTCCTGGAAGGCGTCCTGGAGGGACAGAAGGGACCCTGGAGCCCTCGCCACAGACGTACGTGGGCGTGTGGCCTGGCCCTCCCGAGGCTCCCGCCTTGAGGGGAGTTCACAGCCGGATGGGAGCCCCCTTTGAACTCAGCCCGAACCCACAGGGATACTCCGCCTTAGACAGGCAGGAAAACAGGGGCACGGGCTGCGGGGAAGGGGTTACTTCCTCTCGTTCTGTACACCCACAAAAGCTTCATTCCTTTTGTGAAGCCCCTGTAAAAAAATACTCGGCTTCGTTCGTTTCCCTACCGCCCAGCGGAGCGCCATCTGCAGGATCAGCGGGAACTGCGGGGTCTCACCGGATGGGACCGGCTGGCACCGCTCTGCAAGCCCACAAGCCCGCAGGGTTCCATAACTGTGGGCCTGGGAGTCCATTCCGACTCATGGCGCCACCTGTGACGGAGCAGAACTGCTCCATAGGATTTCCTAGGCTGTCAACTTCTCGGGAGCAGTTCGCCAGGCCTTTCTGCTGAGCCGCTGGGTAGGTTTGAATCACCAACCTCTCAGCAGCCAGCGCCTAACCACTCCTCCATCAGGGCAGGTGGAATGGGCCATGAAAATCCTGCATGGGGAGCGCCCCTCCCCCGCACACCCCGCCCCTCCCCCGCATGCCCTCCCCGCACGCACGCCCCCTCCCCCCGCACGCTCATCCCCAGCGTCCCTCCCCCGCACACACACCCCCAGCGCCCCTCCCCCGCACACCCGTCCCCAGCGCCCCTTCCTGGCGCTGACCTTCTCCTGGTAGAGCTTGTGCAGCCAGGCGGCGCACTTGTCCTCGTCCTCGGGGACATCTTCCAGGGGAATCCGCCTGCAAGACAGAGAGCAGCTGGCAGGGACAGGCAAACCCAGCTGCCCGACAAATCATTCCAAAGTAGCAGCTTGCGCTTTTCAGCAGTGATTTAGGTAGCCAAATAATGCGCAGGGCCACTGACCTGAGAGAGGATGGGGTGAGGGGGTTCCCCACATCCACACTGGGAAAGCAGAGGCCCCAGTGCAACAGGCCCTGGAGGCAGGACACCTGCCTGTCTGTCCTCCTGCCCAAAGGCGCCCAGACCTGGCAGTTCGCTTGCTGACAGGCCACCACAGCCAGTTTCCGCCTGAGACGATGACGCGCACAGAATGAACGCACAGGAGACGTGACTTCATGCCAAGGGCAAAGCGTCCCCACCAGCAACTCCTTCGGCCATGTAAACAGCACTTTCTGCATTAAAGGAAAGGACTCAAGTCTGAGGGAACTTCCCGCGCCCCCTCCCCTGGCTCACCAGGCCCACAGCAGAGATGGGAGGAGGGGCCCGGGGCTGGGCTGGCAGGGGCTTAGGCTCCTCCCTCCGCAGAGCCCCTGCAGAGCCGTGCGGAGCTGTCGGACAAAGGGAGAGGTCACGTGCCCTGCTGCCTGCTCCACATTCCTTTCTGTAGTCCCAGGTGGCTGGCTTTGGTGAGGTCAAGGAATGTCCACGCAGACCTGACTTTGTCCAGGTAACATTCTGCACCCGTCACGACTGTCCACCAGCCGTTTCCCTCCCCACTGTGCCCCAGGAATATGTACTGTGATGGTTCATATCATGTGTCCGCTTGGCTGGCCTGTGGTGCCCAGCTGTTCGGTCAGCCACTGGTCTGGATGTTGCTGTGACGGTATTTACATGTGATTAATGTTCAAATCAGTTGATGCCATGATGGGGTTGGGCTTCATCCAATCAGTCAAAAGGCCTTAAGAGCCTGAGGGAGAAAGATTCTGCCTCCAGTCTGTCACATAGGTGTCCTGCCGGAATTTCCAGCCCACCGCTGACCTACGGATTTTGGACACAAGATTGCCGGAGTCTCCAGCCCGTTGCCTGATCTACAGATTCTGGATTTGCCAGCTCCCACAGCTGTGTGAGCCAACTCCTTAAACTAAATATTTCTCTGTCTCTCTATGTATTATGGGCTCTGTTTCTCGGGAGAACCCTAAGACACTAAGAAGATACATTTTTAGTATATATCCATCACACCCTAACCTGTTAAGAGAATGAACGATACACTGGGATATTATCTAACAATAGATCAGAATGAGCCATCTCCATTTTAATAAGAGGTTCCTTTCAGAGGTAGAATGGTACAAAAGAGTTTTCCGCATAATGAAAACTCATGCTGAGAGAATTAAAACCATGGCGTAAGAATGAAAACTCACATAAGAATCTACGGGTGGTTCTTCTGTCAGCACCTCTGGCCACACTCTTCCTCGTACACTCTTTGCTCTTTCTGATTGACTCTGGCTTGCAAACCAGATCTCCAGATGTGTTTCTTGAAAAGGGTTCGAAAGCCCACATGCTCTTCCTTTATGTGGGTAGTGGGACTTTAGGTGATTTTGCTCTTCTCAATAACTTGTTTGACATTATTGCCCTTGATGTTTTAACACTCTGTACTGCTGCATATACAGAAAAATGCCTCAATATTTTTTAATAGTAACAAGAGAAGATGCATGTAATTTCCCCATGAGACCAGGAGAGGGAGCTCTTTTCAGAGGATGAACCTGACAACACAACTTTTTTGGCTGTTCACTCCCCTACACGCTCCAGAGAGTTGAAGTCACCTGGTAAGTGACCTGTGGTAGGAAAATAATCTTGCACACCGCCCAGGGTTTCCGCAGATAACTCGGGCCCAGCTGGCAATGGGAGGAGCCACTAACAGGGTTGCAGGAACTCGGGACAGAAGGGGACCTAGCTTTGCTTCCGGGAAAGGCTCCTTTGTGGCGGGCCATTTTCCTTCTCCTCTGCCATGTAACTGAGTCATAGGCAGACTGCTGGCTGCACCATTGTTGTTGTTGTTAGGTGCCATCTAGTTGGTTCTGACTCATAGTGACTTCATGTACAACAGAACGAAACACTGCCCAGTCCTGCACCATCCTCACAATCATTGTTATGCTTGAGCCCACTGTTGCAGCCACTGTGTCAATCCATCTCATCGAGGGTCTTCCTCTTTCTTACTGGCCATCTACTTTACCAAGCATGATGTCCTTCTCCAGGGACTGGTCCCTCCTGATAACATGTCCAAAGTGAGACGTAGTCTTGCCATCCTTGCTTCTAAGGAGCATTCTGGTTGTACTTCTTCCAAGACAGATTTGTTCGTTCTTTTGGCAGTCCATGGTATATTCAGTATTCTTCACCAACACCACAATTCAAAGGCATTGGTTCTTCTTCAGTCTTCCTTATTCATCATCCAGCTTTTGCATGCATATGAAGCAACTGAAAACACCCTGGCTTGGGTCAGGTGCACCTTAGTCTTCAAGGTGACGTCTTTGCTTTTCAATACCTTAGAGATGTCTTTTGCAGCAGATTTGCCCAGTGCAATATGTCCACTAGGAAAGAAAACAATAACAATCATGATATTGTTTTCCTATTTTTTATGGGGAAGCCAGAAGAGTTTCAGGTAGGAAAGAAACTATTTAACTCCAGCTGTCAATCCACAGGATGCCTTCCAGGAAGATTCACGCTTTTCATTCAGCCACTGAGTTTTCACTGTGCTGTGCTCTAATTTAGCATCTGTGCAGTCTTAAAAAAAAATCAGAAAGTTCTATACCACTTGACTAGGTCTCCACTGGCAGGCATTTCAGACTCTTTGTGAGCCTTCAGCAAGGATGGTGTGCAGCATAAGAAACCAGTGCCATCCCTGACCCCACGCCACACTGGGTTTTAAGGTGGGACTCACCATTCTGTCTACCGTCTGCAGCATCTTTCAGTTCTACTTCCCCTGAGCTCTGTGGCATCCTGGAGGACTAGGTGTTAGACCTGTTCTCTCAGTAAACAGGCAGGGATAATTGGCTTGTCTAATATCTTACGAAAGTGTTACCAACAAGATCAATAATTGCCTGGAATATAACACATAAGTGAGACGCCATGAAATGTTTATATTATTTGTATATATTTCCATATAGCAGACCAACTTCCCAGAAAAGGGAGTCAATCAAAAAGCCCTTCACACTTAACCTCAAAATGATGGCAAAATATTGCCTTCTATGTGTCCAGCTGGAGCTCTGTTTAAGACCAAACTGGTCTAAGAGGGCCAGGAAGCAGCTGAGAGGGAAGGAGCCTCCCCGGATTATTCAAATGTGGGGGGACGTGTCTCTTGGGTTCATGATATAAATGACTCAGTTGTTGTTGTTAGGTGCCATCGAGCTGGTTCTGACTCATAGCGACCCTGTGTACAACAGAACAAAACATGGCCCAGTCCTGCGCCATCCTCACAACCGTCGTTATGCTTGAGCCTATTGTTGCAGCCACTATGTCAATCCATCTCGTTAAGGGTCTTCCTCTTTTTCACTGACCCTCTGTTACCAAGCATGATACAGACTGTAAACGAGAAGACATGAACCAGTCATCCCTGGAAGGAGGTCTGAGGCAGAGCTTCTAACCAGTTCGTTCCAGTTTGAACCCCTGCTAAGAACTGGCCTTTCCACCCCAGATATACTGAATCAGAATCTACAGTTTAACAAGATCCCCAGGTGATTCTTACGTATAATCAATTCTAAGAACCACTGCTCTACTAGCGGCTCTCAGAACTGGTTCCTAACCAGCTGCATTAGCATTGCCTGGGATCTTGCTGGAACCCTGGCGGCATAGCAGTTAAGAGCTACAGCTACTTAACCAAAAGGTGGGTAGTACGAATCCATCAGCTACTCCTTGGAAACCCTATGGGACAGTTCTACTTTGCCCTAGAGGGTTGCTATGAGAACTTGAAAGCAATGGTTTTTTGTTTGTTTTTTTGGGAACTTGTTAGAAATGCAAATTTTCAGCAGGGGTTTGAACCAGAATGAACCTTTTGTAGCCCTGGACTCTGGGGGGCCATTCGTGATTTATTTGCTTTGAGATGGGCACCCTGTTTTCTGGAAGGAAATGAGCTGGCTTACCTCACATATAAATCCGAATGGTATTTCTTTCCATTTAGGACTCCCAGCAGTGTTGGGTTTTCATTGTTTCTGAAATTGAGTGTACAGTCATATACAGCTGAAACTATAAAAAATAAAACAAATACAAAGCAGTATATAGCATGTGAACCCAATTTTGTCTTGTAGATACACACATTGGAAGACAATTATCAAATTGCTAACTGGGTATCGGAGACTGGTGGGATTACAGATTTCATCTTCAAGCTTTTCCACATTGGCCAAATGTTCCATATTGGACACGTGTTACCTTTTGTAATCAGAAATTCACACTGTAAGTCAGGAATAGAAAACAGAGTTATCATGAGGCCAGATCAATCTAAACAACACGGCAAGGGCCGATCTCGATATAGTACAATCATGAGTCACAACCTTCCGATACGCACAGCCTGTCTTGGTCAACAAATACCGATATTTAAATGAGTATTGACAGCAAGATCAATTAGTCCAAAGCAGGGTCGCTATGAGTCAGAATTGACTCGACGACAAAGGGTTTGGTGTTTTTTTTTTTTTTTTTTTTAATGCTATCTAAAGATGTGTCTGAGTTACAGCAATATAACCATTCTGTGAGCATTTTTTTCCCCTAGAAAAGTAAGATCGCTACACAACTAGGGTAAGATACCGCCTGGAAATTCCTTAAGGAATCAACTGTGGTCAGCGGAAACGTGGCTGAGAAACAAGCAGACGCTGTGATCAATGCTCACCCTACGGTGAGTCAGACTGGGGGCAGGGGCGGAGTAAGCTGTACATACGGTGTGTACCGGTCTGCACTGAGCAAGGTACGCGCGGCTTTAATCGTGTTTACTTGCTCATCTGTGGTGGACAATTCCACATGGGTTTCACCACACTGCTGATGTGGTGGGAACAGGTGGAACTGTGCACTGCAGACTGGCGGAAGGCACGATCGGGCCCGTGCGTACCTTGCTGATTGGGTGACCTGGCCCTGGCTCTGAGCCTTCTGAAGGTGGGCCACAATTTCACAGTCTCGGGTGCGACTGAGCCCACGGCTCAGTCAACACTTACTGCGTGAAAAGATCAAAGGTGTGTAAGCGCATAAATGAAGGAACAGCAGAACAGAGGTCTGCAGTGGGCACAGACGGTCCCCCCTTGGGCATGTCGCTTGGACCCCTGAGCCGAATTCTTCCCCTATGAAGTGGGACTAAGAATACCTTCTCCACCTGGTGCTGGGATGGTGGACGGCAGGCATGAACCCAGGGCCAGGGTGCTCCGAAAATCACATCCTGACACTTTGCTGAGTGCGCTATGTGCGTTCAGTTACGTTAATAAGAGGAGCAGGAGGATGCCAGGACAGGCACCCTGTCTGTTTGGGAATACGAAGCGTCAAGATTCAAAGAAGATGATCACCATCCATGTCTTTCACCTGCGGCCTGACCACCATGGAGGCTATGCAGGGGGTGCCAGGGCAGCTCCGGGGCGTCTCAGCCCACAGAGGGGCTCCCCCACGGGCTGGCGGGAGCCTGGGAGCAGCGTTCTGAGGCGCCCAAGGCCCGCTCCCCTGTCCTGGGCCCGGAGCTGCTGCTTGGGCTGTCCTCCCTGTGGGGACAGGCCTCATCTGCCACCGCAAGTGAGGAGCTGCCTGGCCAGGGCTCTTGGGAAACCACTTTGGTGTTTATTACACTTCGCAGGCATTTTATTACATGTTTATTACACTTTGCATGATGTTTTACCTACATAGAAGAAAGGCCACTCAGGCTGTGTAGGGCTTGACTGAAGTCATAATGCTTGAAAGCAAGGACCAGACAGATCATCTGCTTCCAAGGTCTCCCAAACATCTTCCCTGCACCCTAGTCTTATCCAGGAGCTCAGAGCATAAAAGAGCCAGAAGGGGAGCTGCACTGGTTAACAGAGTTGGGAAGAGCCTCTGGGGATTCCCCGGGAACAGTCTACAAACCAGTGATTTGCACCTTCCCTCACTTTCCAGAGGGAAAACCCCAAGAAGTGTCTCGAAGTGATTCAACTGGGCATGCCTGCAGAGTCCATCAGCAGGACAGGGCGCCATAGCTCCCGACAGCCGGGCAGCCTGGCTGGATCCTGGCTCACTATGTACTAGCTGAGTGACCTCAGCTAAGTTATTCCATTTTTCTGAGCCGAACTTCCTTCTCTGTAGACTGGAAGTAAAACAGAATCTACTGCATGGGTGTGGTGAGGACATACTGTATATCAAGTGCTTATAGGACCGTGTGGCCCATCAGAAGGGCCCTGTGCATGTCAGCCAGTACTGTCCCTGGGGCATTTTTATTCCCTCCATGAGGGCAGTGGGGGCATGGGGCAGGCAGCCTGCAGAGGCAGGAAGCCTTCCCTACTGCTGCCCACAGGCCAACATCAGCCAGGGACTCTCATTTGTCAGCCCCGGCGAGATGGATCAGAACAAGAAAACCAGAACCGGAAGTTGGATATCCCCCCGGGGGGGCGGGGAGAAGGTGAGATAAACCCGGGGTCGGTAGATGGCCAGTGATAACAGCCACTATCTTATAAAATGCTGATTGTGTGCCAGGCATTATGCTACGTGCTTTACACGTACAGTTTTTTGTCATTTAATCCTCATTGCACCCCAAGAGCTTTTACAGAAGAGCAAACCTAGGACCAGAGAGGTGAAGTAACTTGCCCAGGGTCACACAGCAAGTGAAGGTGAAGCAGGATTCAATGCTAGGTCTTCTGAATCGACAGCCTATGATGTCTTTGACCCTGTTGTACATCAGGGAAGGGAAGTGGTTTGTGTCTGGGAGCGCAGAGAAGGGCAAGCGACCAGCAACTATCCTTAGACCTGGTTGCTGGGGTGAGGCTTGGAGGCTGGGGCAGCTTCTACCCCCTGGGTTAAATCCAGAGCCAAAGAGGCTTACAGACAACGAGGTTCGTTGGGACACAGTTCCTTCTGGGAGGCACCTGCATAGTAGAAGGAGCTTGGAGGCCGCCATGCCTAGTGGGGCTGAGGTCCTGCAAGCTGAGTGAGCTGCTTCCTCTCTAGAACCTTCCAGCTCTGCGTGGGAGCGAGAGCTCGCTGACAGTAGACAGTGTCTGTGTGCGCGGCACAAGGCTCCTGCCAGCGAGGAGCAGTCAGGAGCCACAGTGACAGAGAAGGCAGGGCTGGGGCAAGGCAGCGAAGCAGAATGTGGGCAAGAGAAAGCCAGGCAGCCAGCTGCCGGGATGGGGCCAGAGCATGAAGCTGAGGGAGAGCAGGCTGGGGCACTGGCAGCCTGCCTGGGGCTCCTGGACCCAGATGATCAGGGCTGGTTCCAGGCCTGGGGCTGAGGGTGGGTGGAGGCTAAGGGGCAGGGCCGGGAGCGCTGACTTAGGGGGTCTGAACCCATCGAGTGCAATGGCTCTGGACGTGGGTCAGTCACCTGGGGATGGTGGAAGGTGAAGATTCTAGGTCCCTCTCTAGAAGCTTATTTCTAAGGCCTGCTGGGGACCAGTGGGCTGCATGGGACCTGGGCCGCTGCTCACAAAGCTCCCTCTCTGCTCTGACAGGCAGCTTGAGGGAGCAGCAGAAGACACCTTGCCAGTCCTTCCGTCCATCCTTCCTTCCTTCCTAAATCCCTGCCACCGCCAAGGCCTAGGGAGACCTTCCTTGAGGAGGAGGGAGGGCTGGGAGGCCCCTGCCCTGTCCAGAGGCTCACTAGGGTACGGCAAGCAGGGGCAGTGCCCCGGGCGCCTACTGAGGGGAGGGCGCTAACGCGCAGTTTCTATTGGCCCGCACAGTGTCCATCACCAGCTGTGAGAGATCACTCAGCAGTTTAATCAGCATGCCTTGCTTAGTGAAAACACACAGTATCATCAAAAACTTCAAAGGAGAAATTAATTGGGGCTTGAAAGGGTTAAAACAAATTGCCGTGGGCGCTATTTTTGTAGACAGGCCCCTGTTTGTGCTTGTTCTTCTGGCCTCAGGGGCGGAGGGCTGAGGACCAGGGCAAACAAAGACAGCCCTGTGGGTACAGGAAGGTGACTCTTCAGGGGCTCCCCTCCTCTCCCTCCACCTTCAGGAGACACCGCTGCAGAAGCCCAGCCTCAACCACCACCCTGCCGGCCAGTGCTAGCCCAGGGCTAGGGAGGCCTGTTAAACCCTGGTGCTTCCCAGGGCTTCAGAGTGGCATCGAGTCCTTCCAGCTGGACGGGCGTTAAGTCCGTTTAGAGACAAGGGGGGGAGGGGGCGTGGGAGGAGGGCTGGCTGCATGGAGGACAACGGTGGTGTTTCTGAACTAAAGAGAGAGGTCAGAAATAAGATGAAGAAAACCACGCCACGAGGAAGGAGGCTGGTTGTTGCTGTTCTAACAGCTATTTTCTATTATAATCTTATCTGCAGTAATTTAGGGCTCCAAACTCAGAGGCCGCTGCAACAGATCACACGGCCAAGGAGTTCAAAGAGTGCATCATTTGGAGGCAGCTGGGACCCACAGCTCGGCAGTCGTTGCAAAGAAAGGTTGGTGTGTGTGCTAACGTGGGCCTGCAAGGGAGGGCCAGGTCCAGCCCGGGTGCGCAGCGCCGGTTTCCAGCACCTTCGCCCCCAGCCCTGCAGTACCTACGCTGGGCAGCAGAGGGCAGTGTTGGCCCGGAAGAGCGGAGCCACCGCGGCGGGGCGGGTCCCCGCTGGGCCGGTGTGCGCGTATGACACTGTCCCCGCTTCAGGTTCCCTCAGACCTAATTTAGCGGCCTCTCCCGGCTACTTGCTATGTGCCAGGAAGGCGCAGGGTGTTCCTTACCTACATTTCTCAAACTCCGCACGGTGACGGCGAAGCCCTTAGTGCGCGGCAGTAGGTGGTACTTGAGGCCAGGCAGCCCCTTGGCCTTGGCCACCTGCATGCTGATCTGGTGCTTCTTCTCCGTGAAGCGAGTGCCCTCGCAGTGGATCAGGAACTGCGGGGACAGGGACTGCGTCACCGAGACATCGGGGCACCCGGCCTCCTCCATGCGCGGGCCCGCCCGGCCCCCTTCCCCCGCCCCC